ACACGCAATTTAAGTGATTACGTGAATAGAGAATGGTACTCGCATAAGAGGAAAGAAAAGAAAAGTAACTAATAACATAAAAACGGCTGAATTAAATTGCGAGTATCCGATACCCGATTGTTACTTCGCCAAAAACTCACCCCACCAGGAGAATACTTTCTGTGAACAACGTAACAATTCCTCCAATCATCCAGTGATTGCTCCAGAAAAAATATCGCCACTCCGAATGCTCCAGGGATCCAAGGGCTGCTCCAGGATATCAACGAATGCTCCAGATGTCGTAAAATCAGTTACTCCATAGGATGCTCCGGTATTAAGGAGTCGAGCAAAATCAAAAGCCATCTCAGAAATGCGAAGTCCGCCGCTTGTCACGGGCAGATACGAGCGAACGTGCGAACACGGCAAGAGCTCACAGCGGAAAATCGAGCGCTTCTTCGGAAGCACCCAGACTTAGAGGATCACCACTACCCTGTTCAATCATCGATGTCAAGCAACAATTAAGGCGCCGGTATACTACTTGGATGGGTGACCGGCTGAGAGAGCGGACTTCGGACAAACGTGCGGCGGCTATACGCACACGGTTTAATACATTTTTTTTTGTTCCGGTAACAAAATATTTCATTTTTTACATATCAACAAATAGTTTTTGCGTCAGTAACAAAATTTTGTTTGATAATATAAAATATTTTTCTCAGTGTAAAATGTATTTAAAATATCTCTGAAGTGTTTCTGCAATATTTCGTAGATATATTTCAGAAATATTTCATAATATTACCAAAATATTACCGAAATTTTTCAGCATGGTTGAATTTAAACTAATTGCGGACATTGAAACATTGCCGAAATGATGTAAAAACGGTCGTGAAATATTTTTGAAATATTAATGAAAGGTGTAATATTTCAAATGGAATTTTGCAGAAATGTTTCTGAAATATTACATGCCGAGTGGGATGTAATAGTACTTTAAAGCTTCTTGCACAATGCTAGGCAACAGGCAAAAGGAACAGAGAATATAAATCAGAAATCATGTATAAATGTAGAATAAAGAGTGACACAGGCAATAGACACAGAGTTTCCGTTACGTTGAAAATTCTGTGCCTATTGCCTATTTTGCCAACCAATCATAGCATTAGAATTTTTTAATGAACGATTTTTTTTTATTTCCTGTTCCTAGCTATTGCCTGTTGCTTGGCATTGTGCAAGGGGCTTTTTAGAGCATAGTGATAAATATATCACAGACATATCACAGAAGTACTTTTGTTGCTGACATTGGGTGCTACATGTATAAGGTAACTTGCATGTAAGTACGGTCTTATAGCGTTTTCGATTTGCGACTTAAACCGACTCGGGTCGCATCATGTATACAGGACTCTAGCATCATTGACGTGGAATACATACATATCTATGTATGTATTCCATGTCCATTGATGCGACCCGAGTCGGGTCGAGTAGTAATAAATCGAAAACGCCATTAAAAGCCTATTGTGTATGTACACGATGCTAGAAATCGGTCCAAGTCCTCGATTCAAGTTTTCGAATAGAAGTAGCCCAAGGAGCACCAATGCGCGTATAACGTGCTTTTAATGCGCGTACAATTGCATTGGCTTCAAAACCACATTGTGTGTTCAAAATGCGCGCGTTCAAATGCGTAATTAATGCAAATTGAGCATTTAATTTATAAATAACAGGTTTTATAAAATATTTAAATGAGTAGCTTCTGACTCATTATGGAACATTTTTATTTAAGTTTTTAAATTTTAAATAAATTGAATTTTAAATAAATGAAATTTTAAATAAATGACATTTATCATGCCAAAATTAAGATATATTCTCTAAATAAGAATGTTCTTTTCTTCTGTGATAGCTGCACATACTGGAATGTGCTCACCAGCAATGCTTAAAAGCTGCAAAAAATTCCTATATAGTACAGAGTTCACTAGCTGTTCGATTGGGCTCCTCGATCAATGAGCGTAGGTGCACTTTTTGGTATGCGCTTCCATAATATGCATTAAATGCGCATATAATGCGGGACAAATATCCGCATTTAATGCAAAGTTTAATGTACATTCAAAGCGCATTATACGCGCATTGGCGCTCCTTGGGTAATTACTTAATTTTATTACGTGATTTCGTGATGTAATTTCGTGACGTGATTTTTTTCAGTAGGGGCGAAAGGACTACCTTAAAGCTAGAAAGTTCACTTAAGATGTCAAAATAGACCTCGTATAGTGATTCAGTATCCTTGTTCAAATTGATTCCATTGGTTTGTTCTTTGATATAAATCATCTCGGAAATGATTCTTTTTTGATAATTATTGACATATTTTCCCAAAATTTTGAGGTTATTTTATAGAAAATAATAGCGTGGACAAACCTTGATGATATTTTTTATATACGTCCAAGGACAAGTCTATTATAGAACGTAGATAAATTAATTGATATTTCCTCTCTCCTGTAAATCTCTCTTGTAAATCGGAAAATGAATCCTGCATCACCAGCTACTATTCATAGCACATATGGTTAATTAAGTTTTTATCATCAATATACAACTTTTAGAATATAATAGTTACTTACTTATATATAAATATGCTTATATATAAATAATTAAAGAGTACTCACTGCTCGATCCACATACGTGTATATACGCACTCACGCATCGTATATATGCAGAATAAATGTATGTACATCATGGCTGTCGCGATAAGCGTTATTGCGCATAATATAAAACAATAACATTATTATAACAACTGAAATTTAATGTACTACCAACGTTATTTCTAAGTCCAAATTACAAGGAATTTTGAATGTTGCATTGATCTCAAATAAATGTCATCAGAGTATATAACATTTGAAAAATATATTTTCCGTACGTTTTTAAAATATTTTTTAACAACATTCAGAAAAATCATATTACAAAATAATACTTTTCAAATATGTATATAATCCTCTTCTAAAGCTATATCCACACAAACTTGCATAAACCCATAAGCATATGCACAATCTTAACCATAATAAGGGTCAATTCAGACGAAGTTTGCATAGCTGCATAACCATGGCATATGCATAAAGAAATGAACCAATCACATATCTAATAACAAAAGTGCTACACAAATTATGTATCTTTATATATGTTGTACGCATATGCAGCGTCGTAAAGAAAACGTTCAATCGTCACTGTAGAACAAATTCAAATTGACATATATATATTTTGTGGATTTGTAATATTATATTGTGCAATCCGTGTTGCTGGACATATATCCTCTGAAAAATCTAAAAATTGAAATATGGAAGCTGCGAAGAGTTATATGCTTTGTCATGTTTGAGTTATATGTTATACAGACGTCGTCAACGTCGTTTATTAAAAAAACATAAGAGAAGATGGTGGTGTCATCCAATTAATACATTAAGATTTTATCAAGGAGATTTTGACCACCTCTTTCAAGAATTGAAACAAGATTCAGATATGTTTTTTAAATATACACGAATGGATGAAGATACTTTTAATTTATTACTAAGCAAGATAGGACCATATTTAAAAAAATCTAATTGGCGAGCCTTGCCTCCAGAGTAGCGTTTGATTATTACACTTAGGTAGTTGTATAAATAAATTCAATTCTGAACCTTGTTATTGATAGATGGATAATAAAAAAATCCTTTTTCTTGAAAATAGGTTTCTTGCAACAGGTGACCAAATGACATCAATAGCATTAGCATATCGCATTGGATTATCAACTGCTCATTCCATAGTTAAGGAAACATGCGAAATAATTTTAAACGTACTTAGTACTGAGTATCTTAATCCACCGACATTGAATGAGTGGAAAAATATAAGCACGGGCTTTTGGCAACGGTGGAATTTTCCAAACACAATTGGTGCAATGGATATATGGAAAGCACATCCAGATACAAGCACCACCAAAATCTGGGAGCTTATATTTTAATTATAAGAAGACTTTTAGCTTAGTACTCATGGCTATATGTGATCATGAGTATAAGTTCACTGTAGTTGACGTAGGTGCTTTTGGCAGTGTTTGTGATGCTGGTGTTCTATCTAAATCAGTATTTGGAAAAGCATTATATAATCGCACACTTAATATATCGCATGAAACAAGGAAATTACCTGGATGTGATATAGAATTGCCCTATTTTGTCGTTGGTGATGAGGCTTTTCAATTGTATAAAAATGTTATGCGTCCCTATTCTGGTCGATATTTAAGCGATAACAAAAGTATATTTAATTATTGTTTATCACGTGCAAGACGTACAATCGAAAATGCTTTTGGTATTCTAGTATCAAGATGGCGAATACTTCGTCGCCCAATTTGTGCTCATCCATCAACTGTTGATCGATATGTTTTAACATGCGTAAATTTACACAATTTTTTAATGACTGAAAACGCCAAAAAATCATCATGCGAACAAACATACTGCCCAACAAACTTTGTCGATCATGATAATGATATGGGAACAGTAATACCAGGAAGATGGAGAGATGAAAACGAAGGAATAGAACGTCTAAGCCCTTGCAGTGCACATAGGGCAACTTGCGAAGCATACGAGCAAAGAGACATTTTAACTGAATATTTGCTATCATCCGCAGGTGAAGTTACATGGCAATATGAACGTATACATGTGGGATCTACGTATCATACGTTATACGAATAAATACCATATATCCAGTACAATTTTTACTTTTTTATTTCTGTATCAAAAGTACAAAAATATACATATGTATATGCTGAATTACATATATAATTAATGTAAAACAAGTGGCAACAATGCATATAACTTAATATCACTTTTACTTTGGTTTGAATTGTAATATGAAATGTAAAAAATTTTAATACATTTTGAACAAAATAATATTTGTAATTATAGAACACATTAATACGTCTTAAAGTTATAAATAAAAGTTTATTTTCAAGCAAACAAAAATGTTATGTTTATTTTATTTGTAATAAAAAATAAAATTTAAAAAAAAATTTAAATAAACAAAACGTGCACAGCAACTTATGAAGCATACAAACAACAAACTAAATATTATCCACAGACAAAATTACGTAGCAACTAAACAAAAATAAAATTATCAGTCTTTATATGCTTTTTTCCATGCAATCAAACTTAACATTTTGACTTAAAATATTTAATAGCTCTAAGATTGCTGTATGTTTGTATGCAATTATGCAAACCCTACTGCAGTTGTACAACAAGAACCATCTCGACATAAATCAATAGGTTTGTTCTCTGTAGCTGAACTGGCTACACTAGTTCAGAGTTTATCTTTTTTACTCCACATTAGAAAGAAAAAGATAAACTCTGAACTAGTGCAGCCAGTTCAGCTACAGAGAGCAAACCTAATGTGATTTTAACATAACTGTTATAAGATGTAATAAAAAATTATCTTTAAAACTCATATAAAATCTTCATAATTGTGTCTTCCGTGGTTCTTCTATTTTAATTGATATGCAATTGTGCTACCAAAAACATCATCTTCATCCATTTTTTGCTTATTTGAGAAATGTTGAGACATAACAGATGATAAATTCATAAACTATTGTTCAACTTCGTCCGCTTCTTGAATAATTGTATTTTTTGCTTTTTTTTTTATTTCCTGGCATAGATTTTATGCATGGTTGCATTGATGACAAAATTGCTTTATTTTCTAGCGTAGATTTTATGCTTGGTTGCACTAGTGACGAAATTTCTTGATTTTCTGGCGTAGATTTTATGCATGGTTGCATTAGTGACGAAATTTCTTGATTTTCTGGCATAGATTTTATGCATGGTTGCACTAATGACGAAATTTCTTAATTTTCTGGCGTAGATTTTGTGCATGATTGCATTAATGATGAATTTTCATTAATACTTGGTGATGAAGATAAGATTGAAGATAGGAATGGAGATGAAGATACAGATGATGAAGACAACTGTATTGATAATGGTGATAAAGATTTTAACACCTCAGATCGAGCAGAAATGCTGAAAAGATTATAATTATTTATTAGTTTATGTAACATAATTATGGCTAAACTAGTAAATATTTTACCATTATTTGTATCTTACAAACAAAAGAATTAAAGCTTTGTTAAATTATCACTAAATGAGTTGTACTCACCTATTAATAGTTTCAACTGGCTTACTCTTTTGTAAAATACTTTTAGTTTTTGGCATATCAGAAATAAAATGTGTTCCTCGTGGTATAATGTTTGTATAAGTTCTAAAAATTAATTATACAATTAATTATAAAACAATTACATTATAAAAAATACCGAGAATACAACAAAAAAAACATCTATATAACTATTCAGAAATATATACAATTAAACTACATATTTACAAGTATATAACGTTAAAATATTATAAATATAGATCAAATCTGGTTAAATTTATATGAATCATATAATTTTATTATATTAAAATTAAACAAATTTAAAATAAAAAGAAAGTAAAGTAAGTAAAAAAAAATTGTGTAAATTAGAAATTTGCACTTAGCTTCCTCATAGAGGAAGTGATGTCTTAAGATGCTAATATGGCCCTTTGATTGGCTGATGACGCCTTAAGACTATACTTAAGACGATCTTGGATATAAGACCCGACTATGAATACCGGCCTTAAAAAATTATATATGAAATAGAAATATAGAAAAGACTGAAGAATATAATAAAATTAAAAAATTTCGGTAAACCTTTTTTTAATAGAAATCGGTAACCTCTTTATTATTAACAATTTTTATTAATTCTATTATATTCTTCAGTCTTTTCTACCCCTATTTCATATATAATTCGTTAAGATTTGGTTGATCAGTTCTGGAGTTATAGAAATTTCTGTAAATTTGGCACAGACATACATACATACATACATACATACATACATACACACATACCGACATTTTTTTAAATGCAATATTTCGACGTTTTAAAACACTGAACATATTGACATTAAAAACTCAAAAAACAATCTTTTCTTTGGTTTCTTCTACCCCTATTTTATATATAATTCTTTTAAGTTTGGTTGATTAGAGCCATACGCAGTCAAAGGTTCATATACGAATTTACGAAAACAAAGCTTCCTCTATGAGGAAGCAATAGTTATATATAAAAATAAAAAAGCATGTAATCTAATTTATCTTATAGAAAGGTAATAGAACTTACTTCCTGCTTTTAACAAAGAATCCAAAAATTTCATGTTGTTATATAATAAGAACGTAGGTCTTGTAGATGCTCCACTGCCACTTCGGGTTTCTAGTTCTCTTCTTTTCTTTTCACGAGAAAATTTTTCTCTAAGTCTTTGCCATTTATTTTGACAATCCGTAACTGTAATTAACAATAAAAAAAATGTTAATAAAAGCAAAGTAAAAAAAGTAAAGAGAAAAATATGTAGTTGATGGCTTATGAAATATAAAATTTATAATTTATAAAAATAATAAAAAATTACCTGGTAACTTTAAATATTCAGAAATTTCCATCCATGTACGTTCCTTCTTCTTTGCGTTTTTAAAATCTGTTGCACTTTTATCATAAAGAAAGGGAAAGTTTTTAACGAGATCTATTAAAACAACATCAGCATCTTCTTCAGCGTCCCCAAATGGACGGCCGCCATCTTACCCGGCAATTTGCCTCCGAGCGGGAAATTCAAATGAGTTTAACTGAAACTTACGTTTATGTAACGTTTTTTGCAATTATTAATTTAAAAAATTAGCATTATTGATGA